CCTCTTCATTCAGTAGGGCAATCAGTCTGCCTCCAGTCTCCCTTTGTGACTGACAACCCAACTGACCCATCATTTACATCTCACTGGAGCCCTTGCTCATTCAGTCACGGAAGGTAGGTGATTACACTAGGGCAAGTCCAGGATTTTATGATAATAATAGCTACATTCATAGCTTTCCATATGCATGTCCTTTGCCAAGTGCTTTGCCTGTATGAACTCGTTTATCCTCGTATCAGTCCTCTTATCACCATTTCACAAATGAGGAAACTGAGGCCCAGGGGGGTAAGTAACTTATACCAGGCAAAGTTGGAATTCAATGCCAGACAGTAAGCTTCCAGAACTCCTAATGCGAGTACCCAGCAGGGGCACCTGACTTGGGAGGTCAGGGAAGGTTTCCAGAAGGAGCTGAGACCTAAAGAATGAAGAATGAGGTAGGAAGGGTGTGACAAGGATGTACCCGGTGAGATGCTGGGGAGCAAAAGCCTAAGCCAAAGAGCGTACCTTTTGTGGTTCTCCAGGCAGTATTAAATCCTGCCTTGAACAGAAAGACTTTGTTCCCATTTATGTTTGGGTATCTTATCTATTTGATTGTAGATAGTAGCTTTTACAGTTCCTCCCTCAGTTATGACAGGTAATCTCAGAGCTTCATTGAGTTACTGGTTTCTGAAAGTTTGTTCACATCCTCTAGACTGTAAATTTCTCGAGTCTGGGGTACCTGTTTCTCTCCCATGGTACCTCCCCCCATGCCTCAGTCCCTATTTGTTAAATATACCAATAAACAGAGAGAATTATTTAGCCTCAGAAATTATATATATACATTTTTCTTCCTTTTCAATCTGATAAAAACTAGAAAAAAAAAAGCCTCAGTCATAAAAAGGCTCACAATTCTTATCAAACATTCAGAGGATACATTCTGAATAGTCAAGATTCCTTATCCAGGAAGAAAATGGCCCATAAAACCCTACACTGCCAGCAGTGGTTCCTAACTCTGCCTGCGCAATGGAATCATCTAGGAAGCTTTTAAAACATACTCATGCCTGCCTGGGCAACAAGACATTCTGATTTAATTCTTCGGAGATGGGACCTGGGCAAACCCTCACATTGCCTTTTTTTTTTTTTTTTTTTTTTTAAAGTTCCTCAGGTGCTTCTAATGTGCCACCATCATGGCAAACCGCTGGGCCAGACAATATCATCTTTTCCCAGAGATCAAATAAAATGACAGAGTTGCTCAGAAGAGTGAGCATGTCCTCAGCCATGGGGCTCCTGGGTGGCTCAGTGGGTTAAGCCTCTGCCTTCGGCTCAGGTCATGATCCCAGGGTCCTGGGATCGAGCCCCACATTGGGCTCTCTGCTCAGTGGGGAGCCTGCTTTTCCCCCTTTCTCTCTGCCTCCCTCTCTGTCTACTTGTGAGCTCTCTCTGTCAAATAAATAAATAAAATCTTAAAAAAAAAAAAAAGAATGTCCTCTGCCTTCAGCCTTCACAGTGGAGACAGCTGACGCAAATGGAGGCAGAAGAGAGCTTTTCCGGTAACATGCTCTTACTGGTCCCTGGTCTCCCGGCCTCAGAATTTCCAAGCCATGTGGGAAGAGCCCGGGTGCTGGGCTGAGGATGGAGAAGGTAAGGAATGCTGGTGGATGCACTCCGGCCTCACGGGGCCTCACCAGCAGCCTTCTAACTGCAGGTGACAAAATGATGGGGTTTTCATTACATTGCTGCAAGCAACGGCCTTCACGTTCACTGGTCAAAAAAGAAGATCCCCCCAAACTGTACTATTTTCAGCACACCAGTGAGGGAGGGATGCTCTTCTGCCTCTAATCCGGCCAGGAAGATAATGCTATCTGGTTCCCAGGGGAGAGCTGAGGGTTGGCGTGGCAGTCATCGTGCGGGCCAAGTTGGCCACCAGCAACTTTGTGCCATGCTTGAGTGTTCTCACCAGGCAGCGGGAAAGTGGTCAAAGAAGCAGAGGGAAACTGACCCTTCACATCAGGCCTGTGTGCAGCTGGCATGATCAACAGCAGGGTCTGAACTTGGCATCTATGTGAATGCCCAGAGAAAACGTATACACGATTTGTGTGTTTGTGTGCGCGTGCGCGCGTGTGTGTGTTTCTATAAGGAAGGGTTTCTGGTTTTCATCAGTTTCCTAAAGATTAAGACTGAAGCTTGGCCTGGGCAGCTTCTGCTCTGAGCTGGACACCTATTGGTCACCCACACACCCTCCGCTAGCTAGCAGATTTATCCGGCTGAAAGTAGCAGGGCTGGCCAGAGCAAATGACTGAAGTGGATGGCATTCATCTTTTATGCTCGGCCTCAGGGTGTAGCTTCCCCATTTGCAGATGGCCTGAGTATAGCAAATTGTCACCAGCTTTGTCTTCTACCCCATCTTCCCTCCCTGGCCCAGCATAAGTACTCTCCTGGCTTCCCTACATCTCTGTCCTTCCCTTCTGCCCTTGTGCTTCCAAACCTGGATCCATTTCTCTCTGTCTCTATGCAGGATCATTCCATTACCCTTGACTCCACACTTCAATACTCATGTCTGTCTTGTAAGGTCCTCCCCAGCCTTCTGGTTTCTTTACCACGCTGACTTGTCACCCTCAGGATTCTGGGTTGAACTTCCAGGGTGGTGGGCAGAGGGGCAGTGCCCAGGTCAGCTTTTCCTCCCTGGAAGCAGAGTCCAGGCCTTGTCTACTAACCAATACATGCTTCAGAAAGTCCGTGAGGAAAAAACACTGTCTAAGAAAAAACCATTACCATTTTGCCTACTGATGCTATACTGCAAGAAAAATAAGAGGTAACCACATAATGAGTTTTAAATGTGGCAAAAAAAAATCCTAATCACTCTCATTTATATAAGCTGTTTATTATGCACACCTAATTCTCGTGTGGCACAAGAATGGTGTCTAGATCATTAAGTGGGTCAGTTTCCTTTTGTTTCAAAGCTAAACTGTATTCAGGTACGTCAGACTTGAAAGTTTGCTGATCCTGTGACAGGGCTGTCTGTTTTCAATTTAGGGGGAAAAAAAATCATTAGAGGAGAACGTTGGCCTAGATGAGAAAGCTAGGGAAGAAAGAGGAGCCTGGTAGGTCAGGTCCCTCGGCAACCTCCGTGATTTACTGTATGACCTTAGGCAGGTCAATTTACCTGTCTGGGCTTCCTTGCCTCCCCCGCCCCCCACTTCACCAAGGCTGGGAACACTGGGTACTGGTTTTCAATTATTTTTCTTTAAGCAGTCGCCCCCTTCCTTTTTTTTCCCCTTCCCCAAATGAAACCTGTATGGAAGCCCAAAATATAAAGCAGGTGAAACAAGAGATGGCAAAGTCTGCCTTTGAGGTGTCTTCACAGAATGCTGGGATTCCTGGCTCATCTTATGATTTATGACATTGTAAGAATGGGGCAGGACCAGCAAGCACCCCCATGCAACTCTCATGCTTGAAGGGGGGCCCAAAATAACACCCACATGGTGGGCAGGGGCATCACAGGAGCATTTGTAGTGAATCTGGACTTAAACTTGAAGTTCCTCAAGAAAACAGGTGGAGAGAAACATTTCCTTCTGAACTTCTGAGAGTAGTGGTTAAGATGCACCTTTGGAGTTCTATCACATTCAAAAAAGTTTAGTCCAATTTTATTTCAAATTGCCCTCTCCCGGATTATTGGAGAGGATGAAATGAGTTGACTTATTCTTGGTTTCAAAAGAGGCAGTTCTGAAACCTGTGGTCCCCCAAGCTCTGAGATACTAAGCCATTTGTCCTAATGGAACAGCACACACTGGAGTCTAGAATACCACAGGAATATCACACCACTGCAAATTACTAGGTGGTACTGAATCTTTAAAAAACAAAAAACAAAAAACGGAACTGAAACAAAATCATTGCCCTGTTTTTGAGATGCACACTTGATACGAGCTAATCAAATCGCTTTTGAGATGATTTTCCTGGAGGCAGAATTATTCTGCACAGTTAAACAGCCCTCCAGTTTCCTCCTTTGTTATAGCTCTCTATGTGTAAATACAAGGCCTATATGGTGAACTGTTTTCTCTCTCACTTAAGTTTCTGAAGACAAGGCCTTTTTGTCACGGTATGCACAAGACCAGTCAACCTTACAAAAGGAGTCATTTTCTGCTCAATTTCCCCAACTTTCCTATGATTAAAAACTTCTAACTCCAAATTCTGTTATTGTACCCTAGATTGTTTTCTTTCCCTCTGCCCCAACAAATGTTTAAATTGTCTCTACTCTGCAGGATTCCCCCCACCTTTTTTTTTTTTTTTTAAATGCAGTCTGACCTTGAAAACGGAGAAGCTGGCTCTCCTTTTCTTTTATATGTCCTAAACTATTTTAAAATCCGGGCCCTCTGACCTTTTTACAACACTCTTCTGGTCTGACACACCAAATGCTAATCTGAAAGCCAAGAGGAGGTAAAGGGTCTGGGGGGTTGGGAAGGGGATGGAGGGAGGTACTATATATCTGGCATCCGTTCAGAAATTCAGAAAATGTTTGTGCAACCACTCCCCCAGCCAGGATCCACCGCACCCCCTGCCTTCCAGCACATTAATAAAAAAAGATGCGAGCAGATGAAATTGGAGAGCCCGGAAAGGATACCCAAGGCGGTCGTAATTATGTATCCGGAGAAGCCCAGTGATCACCATCCCAGAAGTCCAGACCGCATCCCTCCCCTCCGACATCCACACTTCTCGATCAGGACCCCTGGAGCTCCCACCCCCCAGCCCGCAGAGATAGCGGGTTAAACTTGAAGCAGCACCGCCCATTAACGGCTGATGTGCGACCAGCGGAAGGACCGCCACAACTTCTGCACGTCGGGGCGGCAGCGCCGTGCACCTTAGGAATCGTACGTGTTCTTTCAAAAGAAAAAAAAAAAAAAAAAGTACACTGCGCCCACAGGCCTGGACTACATTAACTTGTAAACCGAATCTAACACACCCCAGCAGAGTCCATCTCGCCCTCAAACAAAAAGAAAAGGTGGGGGTGGGGGGCGAAGGCACTTTACCATCCTGTCCGGAGCTTTCCAGATACTCGGTCAGGTCACAGCCGAAGGCACTGGCGGCTCCCTTTCGTTTCAGCTTCTGCTTGGCACCCTTGTTCTTCATGAGTTAGTCCCAAAGAGGTTGCCCCTCCGTCTCCCCCTCCCCTGTGCGTGGCACCGCGCCTAGGCCGGTCTCCGGGGTCAGATCACGGGCTGCGGCGCGGCACTGAGGGGCCGCATGGGCGCGCGGACGAAGAGCGGCCCGGGGCAGCGCGCATGGAGCCCGCGGGGCGCTGAGCCCGCTGCGGCCGCGGAGCCTTGAGTCCACGGCGCGCTCCTCCAGGGCCGCGGGGCGGGAGGCCGGGCGGAGCTGGCGGCCGCGGGCCGGCCGGCCGGAGTGTCACTTCCTCACTCGGAGTCCCGGGGACTTTCACGGGCTCCTGCGGTGTCTTCGGGTGTTTTCCTCCGCCTCGGAGGGAGGGCGAGCTCTCCTCTCCGCCTCTGCAGACGCCCAGGAGAGGACGAGCGCGCGGCGAGCGGGCAGCAGCCGGAGGGCGAGCAGACAGCCCGGGGGCTGCGTGGCTCCTCTGCCCTGCGCCCGCTGTCTTGCCTTCAGACGGCTTCGGGAACGCGAAAAACAAGCATCCTGTCTCTCTCGCCCGCCCTCACGCCTTCCTTTTTTTCCTGTCTTACAAATCCTAGGATCATCCAGCTCAGGAAATGCTGGAAGGAAGTTAGCTAGGGAGGGGGGCGGAGGGTGGAAATTTTTGGCAGCTCCGCGCTGCGTGTGTATGGGGCCGGAGGAAGTAGGTGGGTGGGTTGAGGAGTGCGGGGTGGGCGGGGGGGGGGGGGGGGGGACGCGCCCCGCCGAGAGCCGGTCGGCGGCTCTGGAGATAACTGGGCAGCTCGGGAGGAAACCGCCGCGGTCCCAGGAGGACCCGCAGCCCTAGCCGCCCGCTTCCTGCCCCACCGCGGCTCTTGGAGGAGGGCGGGAGGAGGCGCGCTGGCCTTCGGGACGCAGGGTGCTAGGTGGAACTGTAAAAAAAGTCCTGCCTTGTTTTGATCCTCGTTGTCACCATCTCTTTGACACTTTCTATTTTGGTGCCTGCGTTCTCCTACACAAACACTCGAAGTAGTGACAGAGACAAAGACAGGGAGTCCAGCGGAGAAACCCGATGGCGAGCGGTCTTCCGCCAGCCACTCCCATCCTCCTCTCCAGCGCCCAGGTACCCCAACCCCTCCGCTCCTACGCTGAGGGAAGACTGGAGGCTGCCGCCTTGTAACGGCTGCCCAAGAAATCAGATCTCTGGTTACAGATTTACACACACACACACACACACACACCACCGCACACACGCATTATTGCAAGTTTGCCAAGTGGAAATGATGTGCGGGGTATCCAGGATTTAAGGTGACTGATATTCGAGCATAACGGGGAGAAAGGAGTCTCCCAGGCCATTTGATAATTTGTCTCGAGTTTTCAGGAGGACGTGATTTTTTTCTTCTCCAGTTAGATCTGAAATTCCTTGACTTCTGTGTACTCAGTACACAGTAAGCACTCAAATTCTTATGATTTAACCATTTGAAGATTAAACTTCCTGTATAAAGTCAAATCCATATATAGACATTCATACAGTTTAGATTGCTGACGGAAACTTTATAGTAGTTACTGAATCCCTTTACAGTCCCTTAATTCCTTATGTATCACATTGACAGTGAACTTTGACCCTTAACCTTTTGTCTTTGCCAGAGGTCACAAGTGACAGCCTGCCTTCTGAACCTGGCTCACAGATGTGTTTGGTCTGGCATACACAACGCTTTAAATTTTTTTTAAAATTGCGTGCCAACTTTAAAGGGTTAAGAGATTTCACTTAAGAGATCTGAGTTTCTAGCTCCTCTTGCAAAAATGGGAGATACGGTAACAGGGAAAGTGCAATCCCACATGGCAAGGATTGCTGATGCCCCGCTGTGACAGCTCCCTTTCAGGTTTGCAGCTCCCCCCACCTGTCTTCCCCCCCTTTGCACCTGCCTGACTTCTGGAGCCACTGGAGTTCCAAACCCAAGCTCTGTGTATGGGGTCTCCTTCCTTGCATTTTCCATCCGTCTCTCAGTGACACTAGCATAGCCACCGTCATCGTGGCTAGACATCTTCAAGTAATCACTGACTCATTTCTTTCCTCCCAACCCCACCTCCAGGCTAGTCCTGCCTGGACTGATGAGTCCTTCAAAATGCCTCCCCTCTGGGTTTCTTTTTTTCCACGCCCCTACAGTAAGGATTGTTCACTCCTCAGTTATTAGAAAAACTCATAGTGGGATTTGCTGAGTCCAGGCTCTGCCCACTTCTTCCATCGTATGTGCTAAAGGCTTGACAAACCTTCCTGAAGTATTGTCGTCATATGCCTGCTTTGTTCAAAACCAGTCAATGACTCCCTGCTTTCTAGTGCCAGGACAGCAATTTCTAAGCATTAGAGAATCTCTGGTAGGGTATTCAGTGTGATGGCTTGTTCCTCCCTTTATAAGAAGCATTTCCATATGAGACAATAATTATTACTATTAACATTTGTTTAGGAGTTTACTTTAGTGAGCACTTTCATAATCATTCATTTCATCTACCCTACAGTGGACTTCATCATTTTGACAGCAAAGGAGAGAGGCTGAAGGGGGTGCTTTTTTCCTGGGTCCAGGCTCCCAGAAGACAAAATATAGATAAATTGTCAGGTTTAAATTACCTTTTTCAATCCTTGAAAACAGTCCTTTAACTTTTCACTTTGAAGTAATTTCAGCTTATAAAAAATCTGCAAATAATAGTCAAAGAACTCCCATTTACCCTTCACTCCACTTTCCCAAATATTAATATCTGCTATAATCAGAGCATAATTATCAAAATTAGGAAATTTATATTGATACCATAATATTAACTAACCAACAGGCTTTATTCAATTATCATTGAATTTTTAATTACTTGTAATTTTTGTTAAATGTCATCTTTCTAACGATAAAGTCCACTGGTAGTTTACAAATAATTCTCATACACTTCGTAGTGTAACGTTAGCTATGTATCAGATCCCCTTAATCACCAACAAACACAGAAGTGTAAGTTGTCGCAAAACAGAGTTGCCTAGGTGAACCAGGAAAGCTGGTGACCTTGACACAGTCCTAAAATTCTTCTGTGTTTTCCTGAGGATTCCCCAGGGGGACACCACAATCCTAGATGTTTCATCCTGTAGTGCCTGAGACCTTTTTGTCCCTGATTCGTGACAAGTCATGCTAAGTTGGGTTCAAGTTGTTTAGTGTTGAGGGTTGAGGTAGTACTGAGCACTGGGCAAGGCGTCCATTATGCCTGGGCTGATTAAACAAACATTTGATATACGTTCATGGGGGTTCGTTGTCTTTATTTGATAATTCCCAATAATCTACGCTTATGGTCAAAAGAACTCACAATTTAGCAAGCCAGATAATGAAGCCACATGGTAACAGCAAGACTCAGGAAGCTAGAAAACTGTCCCCCTCCCCATTTGTCCCTGTCCCCTTTCATTGCTGAGTATGCGTTATGATAAATGCAAACTTGAAGCTAGCCCTTATTCTGGACACTCTATTTTTCTTTCTCTTTCCTTCCTCTGCTTATCTCTTCCTCTTCTCATTTTTCTTTCTCCTTGCTTACCCGAAGATGTGTAGCTTTTTCTGGGTCTGCTGAAGAAAATCAGATTTGGGTTTCAAAGGGCTTATCTGTTGGGCTGGGGATTTCCTAGAAAGTAGGATTATATGGAGATTGTGTAGGAATGTTAATAGGAGAACGACTTAAGCTGTTTGGTGGTAATATAAATGATCCCTTCAGTAGATTATCCTGAGACAAAAAGCCCTTTACTCACATGGAGTTCCCACCATAGAGTTTTGTTGTTACCCATGATTTATCTTATTTGCAACTAAGACTGGTGCCTTAGTTCAAAGTGTGCCATCTGCATCCTTCACTCACCAATGTTGGTAGTAATTTTCTCTGCTGTAAATAAATTAGATACAGAAGACAGAGAGTGGGTATTGGGAGATTTTAGTGTCACGTGTGAGGTAGCCTTTTGTTTTACTTGGCCATAAACTAGAATCAGCAATCAGCAATTTTATTTATTTTTTTCATGATTTATTTATTTCAGAGAGAGAGAGAACAGGCGTGCAGAAGTTGGGGGAAAGGGCACAGGGAGAAGGAGAGAAATCCTCAAGCAGACTTCCTGCTGAGCCCGATGAAGACTGGGGCTCAATCCCAGGACCCTGAGATGAAGACCTGAGCCGACAACAAGAGTTAATATTATGGTATCAATATAAATTTCCTAATTTTCTCTTCTCCTTTTTTATTCCCTGTTCTCAGCTTAAAAATGCTGGTCTCTTCTCTGGTGGCTGGGTGTTAGGAGCTGAATTGGGCATCCCCTGCCAGATTCATATATTAAAGCCCTAACCTCCAGTGCTTCAGAATCTGACTTTTATTTGGAGATACTGCCTTTAAAAAGATGATTAAGTTAAAACGAGGCTTTTAGAGTAGGTTCTAATCCACTCTGACCAGTGTCCTTGGGAGACGGGGAGATGAAGTTGCAGAGAGACATCGGGGACGTGAAACTCAGAGAAAAGACCATGTAAGGACATCATGAGAGGGTGGCCATCTATAAGGCAAGGAGAGAAGCCTCAGGAGAAACCAAACCTGTGGCAATTCCATCCTGGACTTCTAGCCCCCAAAACTGTGAGAAAATAAACGTCTGTTGTTTCAGCCTCCAGGGCTGTGGTAGTCAGTTATGGCAGCCCTAGCAGACTAATAGATGGAGTGAGGCTCTTCTATGAGACAGGCCTTGTGCTCACCCTGGGCCTGGATGCCAGTGCCCTGAGGGTCTCAAGCTAATAGAGGATGAGGATGGACAGAGCAAAAGGACTTCTAGAAAGTTATATATCCCAAGTTCTATTACTGCATTTCTCTGTGCCATGAGTTCCCAGATCTAGGTTATGCTGCCAATTGTGGCCTGTAAGTGGTCAAATGAGGAAGAATAAGCACCCCTAGTAGGGTTGGAGGAGGTCCACAATACCAGTCTCAAATCAGACAGAGCAGAGTGGAAGAGAGGCCCACACGATGGCAGGGAAGGAACAGGAGCCGGAATCAGTCTCTCAGTCCT